ATGTTGCAAAGAGACCTGCATTGTTTAGATTTCTCTAATATTTCTGAAGAAAATTATAAATTTCTTGCTTAACCTGTAAAATTACAGATTGAATAGGGGGTTTTTGGTAGCTGAGTACTGGTATCATCACTTTCACTTTCACTATTATCATTACTTTCACTTTCACTATTATTATCGCTTTCATTATAATTACTTGTATTAGATTCTAAAAAATAAAAAAAATCATTAATTAATACATATATATATATATATTAGGTGAGGCATTGTTTAAATAATAATATATAGCACTAGATTTAGTATAACACTTTATTTTGATTATATAATTTATGAACTTTAATAATACTACATTCATCAATATCTGGTTCAAAGTTAGATAAATTCGAATTAAATTCTGATTTCAAAACTTCGATAATCAGATACATAACAGACAGAGTTGGGTATTTTTCATTACTAAATGCTTTGGTTGCCTGATCAAATGGCTCAAAAATGTTAGTTAACTCTTCAACCAACCTCCATTCATTTTCACTAGGTAAGCAACATTTAAGTTTTTAATCATCTTTTTTTCATTTAGATTTCATGAAATATTAAGATTAGCTTCTAACTATACAATTACATACTTTAATTTTATTAGTCTTTTCCACGATCGATATTTTGAATTCTAACGTGTGAGACAATTTTTAACTAGCTGAAGGGCTTGGGGTACCAAATTTATACTTGGTTGTTCTATTGAATTTCTGTTATCAACTTCACTAGGTTCTTCACCTTTATTATATATTTCAGTATCAACTGATTCAGGAATAAGTAAATGATCTTTTTCTGCTACGGCTATTTGGGCTTTTTTTAGTTTTTCATTTTGTTTTGGAGAATAAAAGAATTTAACAAGTTTTTTTATTTTTTTTACATGTGGGCAGACTTTTCATAAGACAAAATTGACCATCAATTGTAAAGTATGTATACATGGAATTTGTTCAACAGAATTCTATTGTTGAATTGCCTTTACTATATTGGCCCCATTGTCAGTGACGGCATATGCAATTTTTTCTTGAAGGTTAAATTGAATACATTTATTCATAATAAATTAGTAAATAGAATCACCTGTATAGAGATGTGGCATTTTTTTACAGCAAATTGTTACGCTATTTAAATTCCAACTAGGAGTTATCTAGTGACAAGTGATTTCTATATAACCTTCCTTATTTTGTGATGTTTATCAATCAGCCGTTATTGCAGCAGTTTTACAGGAAGATACAATTTTATCTTGAAGAATACTGATATTTTTTTGATAACTTAATGCTATTTCATTTTTGATTA